TGGTGACGGAGGCGGGAAGCTTCGTGTCGCGGTCTCAGCTGAACACCACCTGCTTCAGAACACAAAATGACACTGTGATTCTCTAACAACTGTGGGCATTCTAATACTTGAATCCCTACAGGATGTTAGCAAACAACATTATGTATTTTTACATAGAAATTTAGAAATCAGAACCCGACACAGCACTGGAGCATGACAATCAGGATCACATTTTGCAGCAAACTTAAATTTTCATTTTGACGTAGCATACCCTTTATTATTTAATTTTCTTTTCTTTTCTTTTTCTTTGGCTGGCTCAGGCTGCCTTCAGGTCAGGTGTGGTAAGGCATGTAGAGCTGGGGATTGAACCGCGGTCCCCAAGCCCTTTTAATCAATCATTCAAATTCAGAGGTTTGAATCTCAAAAAAGTTTCAACACACTAAGGAATCCTTGTTCTACATTTTATGAGACCTGTACAACTGGAATTGTGAAGACATTTAGTACACAATGACACAACAGTGATGAATAGTCCTACACACTTGGGAACCTTTGTGTCTTGATTTGGTTTTGTCCCAAGAGCATCCTTTGTGAGAAGACCTTATTGTACTTCCTCTAGAGATCTTCATCTTTTGACCACGACCAAGTTATCGGGGTGTCTCCCACAGGACCCTGGAGACCACTGGTGGCTCCTTACCGAGGAGCAAAGGCTGGCAACGCCTGTGTGCACCAACTGGAGTCCTGTGTAAGAATCTCTTCCCACCCTGAGGAACTTTTATTTAATTACCTTTTTTTGGCTAAGTTTTGAGAAAGCCAATTTTATGATCACTTAGATGAGCTGGTAACCCCGGTGCTTGCATGCCTTTGAGTCTCTAAACCAGACTATATTAAAACAAATAATCCCAGAATGCAAAAAGACAAAGGAAAGGTAAAAATTGTTGAGCCCAAAAAAAAAGGATCAGCTGTTCACAGAATAGACATACAGACAACTAACCCAGCAGGCATAACAAAAATCAGAGGGCACTCAAATATATTTTCGACCAGGGGAGAGGAGTCGCCGCCGCCCGCCGCGCTCGGGGCGCGCGCGTCTCAGGGCCCAGACAACAGGATGGAATGCTGTATGAATTTCGAACCTGTTATCTTAAACCCTCAAAAATGAATGAGTTCCTGGAAAATTTTAAGAAAAATGTTCATCTTCGGACAGCTCACTCTGAATTGATTGGATACTGGAGTGTAGAACTTGGAGGCAGAATGAACAAAGTATTTCATATTTGGAAATATGATAATTTTGCTCATCGAACTGCAGTCCAGAAAGCATTGGCCAAAGATAAAGAATGGCAAGAACAGTTCCTTATTCCAAATTTGGTTCACATTGATAAACAAGAAAGTGAGAGTACTTATCTGGTCCCATGGTGCAAGATAGAACAGCCTGCAAAAGAAGGAGTCTATGAACTGGCTACGTTTCAGATGAAACCTGGTGGTCCAGCTCTGTGGGGCGATGCATTTAAAAGGGCAGTTCATGCCCATGTCAATCGAGGCTACACAAAACTAGTTGGTGTTTTCCACACCGAATATGGAGCACTCAACAGAGTTCATGTCCTTTGGTGGCATGAGAGTGCTGACAGTCGTGCAGCTGGGAGACATGAATCTCATGAGGATCCCAGGGTTATGGCAGCTGTTCGAGAAAGTGTCAACTGCCTGGAGTCTCAGCAGAATATTCTTCTGATTCCTACGTCATTTTCACCGTTGAAGTAGTTTGGTACTAAAAATACCAAGTGTCTCATTAATTGGTGTTACAGTGTGTGTCTTCCAGTGGTGCTTAAATTCTGCCAAGAAAATTACTCTTTTTTTCTTTGAAGAAGGTAGTAAGTTAATTCACCATGTTGTTCACATTTTTTTAAAGCTATGTGTATCGTTTGTTACCCCTATTTCAGGAAATAATGAGTTTATTTGCTGCTTGATATTTCAGTATCTGCCATACGATGAAAATACCTATCAATTGGAAAATGAATTTATGAGATCCTAATATGAAAACTCTGGAGAAATGTCTTTATTTATAATGATTACTTCATTTTGCATCTTATTTTATAAAATAATTGTCACTTTATTAAGGTCTTGATTTTTCATTTGTTTCAGTCTATTCTGTATTTTAATAAACACTCAGATAATGAGGTCGCATTTTCATGCTTGTGACCATATGTTTACTTAATTTGGTTTTTTTGGAGGAACCGGGGATTGAACTCAGCCCCTTGAGCTTCCCAGGCAAGTGCTTATTCTACTGAGCCATCTCCCCGGCCCTATTTATTTAAATTATTAATATACATTATCAATCTTTGCATTATGACTTTTCCCAAAGTTATTTTTTCAGGTTTTTTGCCCTGTAAAGTATGTTTTATACTATCGACAGTGATTCAGGAAAATACTCTCTTTGATATGTTAGAATATCCTTTGTGCCCTTTTTTTATAGGTGTTTCTCATTAATTAGTTGGAAAATGTTATGAGGTCCTGGTAATTAAAACCTGTGAAGACTTTGATTTATATGCTAAAATATCTTCATTTATAATTAATTGTACATTAATAATTTGGATCTGTGGTTTAATGCTGTCTTTATGGATATGGAAATCTTTGCCCTAATAAAAGCCTACTTGTATACTGTAA